GGCCTTCCGACGGCCCGAGACGGCCCAAGTGCGCCCAAAGATCGCCCAATAGGCCCACAACAGCCTCAAGAGGCCCCCAAAACGGCCCAAGAGGCCTTTAAGACACTCAAGGTGGCCTCCAAAACGGCCCAAGAGCTCTCCAAGACGTCCTCCAAGAGGCCCGAAAAGGGTCAAAATGGCCTCCCGACGGCCAAGATGACCTTCAAGATGCCCACGTGTTCCCCGAAGGCTTTCCAAACTGATTCGGGAAACACATGGTCCGACAGCTTGGCAGGTCTGGCCTCAATGTTCGGCCACATGGGCACTTCCAAGAAGGCAGGGGCGGCGGTGATTCGCGGTAGGCGTCTTCGAGGGGGAGAGAGAGAGAGAGAGAGAGAGAGAGAGAGAGAGAGAGAGAGAGAGAACAAAAAAAAGCCACACACACACACACACACACACTCCGGGCGCCCAACGAAGGCCCCAAAAACCATAGCAACGGCCCTGGACAGCCGCAGGAAGGTCCCAAGAGGACCCCAAGACGGGCCAAATGGGCGCCAAGAGGCCCCAGAAGCCACCAAACCGACCCAGGACGGCCCCAGGACAGCCCCCCAAAAGTCCCCAAATGGGTCCCACAAGGCTCCCCAGACGGCTCCAGAGCGCGAGTTACGACTCGTGAGGAAATCGCTCCCAAACGCTCGCCAGTGCCTCCAGCTGACCCCTGAGGCCCCCTAGACGTCCCAAGAGGCCCGGCAAGACCAAACCTTTGCCCCTTCCCGAAGGGAAACGTTTGAGTTTAACACGTTCGCTTCTTGAGCTTCCACGAGCCCCACGGCAACCAAAAAAACCTCCAAGCTCAACCCAAAAGCCCCCGCATGCCCCAAAGAAGGCTCCCAAACGGCACAAACAAGCCCCAACAGGGCCCCCGAAGCCACCAGGGAGAGCCCCAGGACGGCCCCAAGATGAGGGTAAGAAGGGACACCCGAATGGAGAATTCGAACACTTCGTCCCGAGAAAACATGAAAACGCCCCTACATGCACCCAAGAAACCCAGACGGGGATCCGCAATGCCCCCGAATGACCCTGGGGCCCGGAAGCGGCCCGTCGACGACGAGAACCACGGACAAAAAACTGAAAACATTAAGGCTTTGCATCATTGTTTTTTCTTTTCCCGACGCAGAGCTCGTTCACCGTGAGCCCCCTGGACCCTTCCCGGAATCCAATCGCAATCGTTTTCCCAAATGCATCCGACAGCGGCGACAAGGGGGTGCCCGGAACCCCCAACCACAACAACCCCCCCGAGTCCGACGGGCTACTCCGCACATATTCGTTCCCCGAACCTCTCCCCGGGTCCGCTGATGCAATTTCTCGCCCCAGGTCCGTCTGGTTTTGAAATCCCTGGGGCCCAGCAACGGCCCCCAGAGACCGAAACCGATCAACAACAAAAACTGTTCAAACAAAAACCTCTGGAAAGGCAGCCGGAACTGCCGCGGGCATCTACCGCGATCGAGAAGAAGAAAAGGAGAAGGACGAGGAAGACGAACCGGAGGAGGAAGAGGAAAAAAGAAGAAACATATTTCGTCGTCGCCGCCGATGTCTCCCAGATTTTCGTGGTCTTTCGACCACCCGAGACATCTCCTCGAATTCAGCCTCCAAGAACCGCTTTCGGTGCCCAGGACCACCGCCGAGGGTCCGGGATGAGGATCGACCTTCCTGCCCGGCGTCGCCCCTTCGCAAAGGAAGGCGCACGGGGTGGATCGAGGCTCGAGGCATACGACTCCTAATTCTTGGGCGCTCTCCGCCCCACGTGGGCCTTCAGGAAGCTCCTCGTCGACGCAGCTAGGTCCACTCTCGAACTTCTGGCCAGACGCACCAAAGCTGGGTCTCAACGATCCCCGAGCCTATCCAGGGGGTGGAAAAGGAGGCCTAGGACAGGCCCGTGAGAGCCCCAAGAATACCCACACAAGACCACGAACAACTTCAAAACAAACCTCTGCAAGGCCCCTCCTTGAACCCCACACGCTACGTAAGGCAGGACTGCCCAGCGATCACGCGCGTTCCGCGAACGCCGTCTTGCACTCTTGCTGCCGCCCCAAGGGGTCGGCGGCGCGGCGGAAGCCAATGAATCCACGTCCGGACTGCATCGGCAATCCGACAGGACGGGCGTGTGACGCCAGGGCCCAGCCGCGATACGTAGAGGAAGGACAATTGCAAAACATTGCATTCTTATACATTGCAAAACAACCCCCCCTTAATCCCCCCCCAGGGCCGCCACCGGGGTGCCGACCCATCTCCGCGTCGAATGAAAAAACTGTCCAACACCTGATGGAAATCTATGATTTCGGCACCTTGGGCTCCTGAGGGGCCAAGACGGTTTCAAGACGGCTCAAAATGCTCTCAACACGGCTCAAGACAACCCCAAAACGGCCCACGATGGCCTCAGGAGGGCCTTAGAAGCCCCCATGATGGCCCAAGGGGGCTCCAAAAGGACGCCCAAAAGCGCCTCTGGAGGCCAAACACGTGGATTTGGGCATTCGTTTTGGTTGATTGTTCGCGCTTGCGCCTTTTGCATTCTCGGGGGGCCCCAAACTGCTTTCAAAGTGGCCCCAAAACGGCCCACGACGCTCCCAAGAGGGCCTCTACACGGCCCACGAAGGCCCCAAGATTGCAGCAAAAGGCCCCCAAGACGGCCCCAAATGCTCCCTGAGAGCCCCCCAAGACGGCCTCCGCAGAGGCCAGACGGCGCAAGAGCGCCCCGAGATAGCCCAAAGGCGCTCAAGAAGCCCCAAGAGGCCCCAAAGAAGCCCCAAAGAGGGCCTCAGAGGCGCCCAAGACACCCCAGTAGGCCCGACAGAGACTCTACTGCGCGTGCTCAAGAGAATCTGGATCTGCTGCCTTCGTAGAAATGGGCGGGGGCGCTGCCAAATCCGCCGCTCTTTTAAGAGCGCCAGGCTGTAACATTTCTGACACGCCACCAAACGTCAATGTATCCTATGTATCCACTGATTGCATAATTGCTACATATCGTATTGTGTCCCCCTTCACCCCGCCCCCGAGGCCACCCCGCAGCCACCGACCCAAGAATGGCGGACCTCTTCTGGACCCATACAGGTTAAAAAGAAGAAGAATAAGAAGAAGAAGAAGAAGTGAAAATCAATGATGTGGGCCTCCTGGGCCTGTTGCGGGTCTAAGAAGCCGTGAAGACGGCTCAAGATGGCCTCAATGCAAGCGAAGACGGCCCCAAGACAGTCCAATATGGCCCAAAGAGGACCAACAAAAACACCCAAGACGGCCCAAGACGGCCTTAAGAGGACCTCCAAGAGCGCCTCCCGAGGCCCAAACCATCGATATTCCGGTTTTGAAGAACCTTACTTAGCGTTCTCGCCTTTGTGGACTCTCAGAAGCCCATGACGGCCCAAGCAGCCTCCAAAATGGCCCCAAGACGGCCCACGAAGCCCTGAAGGCTTCCACGACGGCCAAAGCGACCCCTACGACGGCCCAACTCAGAGGACACAAAGAAGCTCCCAAAAGGCCCCGCAACGACTGGACTGTCCGTGGTCCGGACGTGCACCAAGCGAAGCGAGAGGATCTTGAGTCTCCCACCAAGCGGGGGAACAGCTTTGGCCGAGGTATCCCAAGCATCCTGCGCGAGCAAGAAGGCCAAGCAGACACCAGGCATGTGGAGAACGAGAGGCCCACAGAAACGCCCGCAGAAACGGCAGGATGCGTCAGAAGCGACAAGCGACGAGCATCGAAGAGAGTCTGAGAGGCGTGCTGGGGGACCCCAAGCGGTTCGCTGTGCGGCGTGAGCCAATGACATTGAGCGCAACAACAACCAAGGATGCGCAACACAAATCACACATACAGCGGAGAAGAGCTGCAGCGCGACAAACAACGCATCAACGCAACCAAACGGCAGAAAAAAACATGAACCAATAGTGTTGGTCACTATTGATCTTTGGGCAACGCGCCCTCCCCCGAAACTCCTCGAATCACTGCCGACTCACATGCGAAGTCCAGAGATCTAACCTCAAACCCAAACAAACATTACGACAAAACACTTCAACACAAACACACACTGCGGTGCTAGTAATCGTATCTTATCGCGTCGAGCAACAACCTCACTGGGCCTCTTCAAACATCTTCCGACTAGCACGCGAAGCTAGCTCAAACACATCTGCACAGAGCGACGCTGAACACAAACTGTGTTTCTTGTCATCGTGGTTGGCGCTTTGAGCACTACACCGACCCTGAATCTCCTCAAACCTCTCCCAACTCATACGCGAAGCCTGGAATCCTACGCTCACGATCTAACGAGGGGTCCGAAGCTGAAGCAAAACAAGGAAGTTGTCAAACGCCTGATCTGCAGCTAAATGTACTTGCGTGCCTTAGACTTGGCATCCCAGCGTGCGCTACACTGCTCAAAACGTATCAGACGTGACCCTCCGGACCTTGGAGAGCGTTCGACACATGGATACCGTTCCGCCACCCGAGGGCGGGAAATCTCACCCCCACTGCTGTCCGAAGTCCTCAATTGGCACGCCTCCAGATCGGTGGACATGGACAAACCACCAGAGTAAACCTTCGACCGCCGCGGCTGCGAAATGTCAGGCTTCGGGTTGCGCGTGCTGAGACCGCCCCAGGCTACTCGGGGGGCCTGATGTGGCCAGCTGGGACGACTCGGGGGGGCCTTTTGGGGCCAGCCAGGACTAACTACCTGGGGGGGGCTGCCTGGGCGAAGCCCGACACCTCACCAATTCGACTGCCGCGGCTGCGAAAGACCTCGGGGATCTTCTGACCCGGGTCAATCCAGACCCGGGTCAGTCAGGCCTTGCAAAATCCTGCAAGATCCTGCACCCAAACCCGGGCCAATGCGAAGGATCCTGCAAGATCCTGCAGGATCCTGCACCCAAACCCGGGTCAATGCGACCCTGGCACTTCGATCCTGCAAGATCCGGCGCTCTGGCTGACCCCCGTTTGCATTAACCCCCGTCTCTTGAGCCACGAAGACCCTGCTGGCCCTCCGCCCCGGGCCACCTTCGCGACCGCTGGCGCGCAGGCGGCCTCATCGGGCGCGCTCGGCGGCGCCGCGCCGGCCTCTGGCTGCGCGGCGGCGGCCTCTGGCGGCGCCGCAACGGCCTCTGGCTGCGCGGCGGCGCCACTCGTCGGCGCCGGAGCCGCGGCGGCCTCTGCGCGCGCGCGAAGAGAACGACGAGCGCCAGGATGCTCCGCCCATCTGCGCCACGGGAACGCTTCTCGTCGACACGGCTGGGAGCTGGGATTCCCTTCGAAGCCCGATTCAGATAGCACCCAATCGCGACTGGACGCCTCCGAGTGCGAAGATCAAGGGCCCGAAGGGGACTGGCGTGCGGCTCTCGCCTTCCGAGATAGAGGAACTCACAACTCGTGACGGGAGGGTCCGGACAGCCCGTCAACTGGCTCGTCTCGTCGTGGCATCTCCAGACTCGCAGGTCCAGTGTATTAGATTCGGCGCTCTGAGCTCGGCGACCGACGCAATGGAAAGTCAATGGACATGGGACATCAGGATGACCACGAAGCTTCGGCTCCGCGCTACAAGGGACAGGGGGCCAAACGGTGTACAACTCTTGCGCGAAGTGGCCGAAATTACCAGCTTGTAGGTCATCGTATACTGGCAGCGGATCAATATTTACCTTCACGCTCATTGCCAACGCAATCATTGCAAATGCATGTCCAGTCACGCGCATCTTGGCATTCACACCTACCTCGCGCGGGGCATCGCAATATGTCAAACTTGACCTCCATGTATTTTGTGGCGCAGTCTGTTCGACAGCCTGGAAACCTCAAACCGAGTCCAGCTGCTCCCAGCGTCGTGGATGCAGCGCGTCGGGCCTCCGTTGCAGCAGTAGGCGGCAAAGCAACACGTTGAACCCACCGACGGCACCTGACCTTTGGGCGCATCGGGGCCGCTCACGCATGAGCGCACGAGAACGCCGAGTGTCTGACGCACGCTTTGGCAATTTACGTGGACCGCGTCTCTCGAGGACACGGCTTCTGCGGCAACTCATGGGAGCCTCCCATACCATCTCGCTGGCCCTTGCGAATCGACACAAATCAACGCAGAATCGGCGCAAAATGATTACCAGACGCTGAAGCAACGTACGCGAAAACACGCTGGAGACGGAATTCCAGGGACACACCGGGCCCCCATGATTTGCTACCGAATTACGTGGGCCGCCTCTCTCGGAGGGCGGCGCCATGACGGCAGCACGCGCACTCGGCGACGCACGGCAACTCGGTGGCGGCGTCTGGGTGCGCCTCGGACAGGGGCTCCGCGACGACGGCGGCGGCGGCGGCGGCCGCGCCGCTGTCAGAGGCGCCAGGCCGCGTTTCCCCTGCGGGTCGCAGCGGGCGGGGGGCTCGCTCTGGAGCTGATCACCCAAGCATCCTCTTGCGCCATTCCTCCCATGACCCTGACAATCTCTCGGACGTCCATTCCCTGTGCATTTTTCGGATTGGTGCGTGATTGTTTGGAAGGGTGATTCAAGGTGCTCCTCGATGGTCCTCGCCAAGAAAGGACGCACACGTCTGGGCGATGCCAAGAGGACTTGAAAGTCTACCGAGGTGTAGTGGTGTGTGCCCATTACGGGAGCTTCTGTGTGGGCGCCCCTGTCCTGCTTGTTGAGTGCTGCCCGCCTCGCCCCAGTGGGACGGGTGAGCAGAATTTGAGCAACAAGTTCATGGATGTGCCGCCCAAGTCTAGTATGACATTCCCGTGGATTGCGCCTAGGGTCTGAGCTTGCACTCGATGGGTCTCGCCAGGAGAATCCCACCAACCCTCTAGGCGTAGGTGGTTTAGGGCGGTTCCTCTTCCAACCCCCATTCTTCCCCTTTGGGGAAGGGTTTACCACTGCTCCCTATTAGTAACCCCCCCCTCCCCCAGGCGACTGGAAGCCAACACACAACCATGAGGGCACCCCCCCCACCATCCCTGGTAACAAAAAAAACATGCAACACACACACACACACACGCACACGCACACGCACACGCACACACACACACACACACAGACACACAGACACACAGACACACAGACACACAGACACACAGACACACAGACACACACACACACACACACGTTGCCTCCAAATTCGGGGCGTGCGCAACCAACCCGATGCGGCCTCCCCACACCATCCGTGCCAAAAAAAAATACAGCGTGCACTTGGCGGCGGCGGCGGCGGCGGCTGCGGCGGCTGCGGCGGCGGCAGCGGCGGTTGCTGCGGCGGCTGCGGCGGCGGCGGTGGCGGCGGCGGTGGTGGGGGCGGCGGCGTTGGCGTTGGCGGCGGCGGCGGAGGCGACGGCGGTGGCGGTGGCGGCAACGGCTGCGGCGGCAGCGGCTGCGGCGGCGGCGATTTGACAGCGGGGGCGGCATCGGGCGGCGCGGCGGCGGCGGCGGCGACGGCGGCGGCGGAAGCGTGGCGGCGGCGGCGGCGGCGGCGGCGGCCACCGGCGGCGGCGGGCAGCGGCGGCGGCGGCTGCGGCGGCGGATTGGCCTTCAGTAGCTGCCCATCCGAAGACGGCTGCTGAATAGACTGAGGCTCGGGCCAGACTCGGGTGCTAAGTATGTGTTGGGAGGGCGTGTGGGGGTGAGCAAGACGGCTTGCGGGCGGGGAGGGAGTCGTGACCCCTCCCCCGACCTCCTCCCTTGGACCTGGACGGGGCGCCCCGCGAGCGGTCAGGGCGTCCAAAACGGCCTCGGCGAGGAAACCACCATCGCTGGTTTTACGAAAATGTTGGCATCATTTTGATCCCATTGAGGGGGCGACGCTAATTAAGGGAACCCCCTTCGTTTATCGATCTCATTCGAGATGGCCTCACGAGCGCTCCGAACGCTCCCGCTGGTGCCCCAAGAGGGCCCCAAGAGGTGGCCAGGAGGCCCAAAGAGGCCCCCAATAGGCCCCCAGTGATTTTGGCGTTCTCGCCTTTTCGATTCCGGTGGCCATCCGAGGCCTCAAGATGGCTCCAAGATGGCCCAAGAGGGCTCCAAGAGCGCTCCCAAGGCCCCCAAGAACGCTTCAACAGGGCACCAAGAGGCGCCCAGAAGGCCCCAGGAGGCCCCAACAGGCGCCCAAGAGGCCTCCTAGAGGCTCCCAAGAGACCCCCCAAAGGCCCCAAGAAACTCTGCGAGGCACCCAAGACGCCCTAAGAGGCGCCTGGGACCGCCAAGAGGCCCCCAGGACGCTCCAAGAGGCCTCCACTGGGGGACCCTTCCTCTGTGTGCTGCCCATTTCCCTGATCGAGGCAAATCCTCTGGTTTCTGGATGGGCTGGTCGGGATACTGTCTTGTCGCAGCCGCAAGCGAAGGCGCAGGCGGCGTCAAGGGTCTCGAGCGGGCTACGCGCGGACCTAATTGCCGAACGCCGACTAAACGGCGGCCTAAGCAGCACCTAAGCTGACCGGACAGCGCGACGGGGTGCGGGCTGCAGCTGCCAGGAACCAGGCCCAGGAGCGAGCGCATGTATAATTAGCCAACCGAAGTTGGAGCGCAGCCAAAATGGCGCGGGGGCGATACCAGGATGTGGCCAGGAGCATCATCACTGGGAACGCTGACGCCAGCTGGGCCAGGAGGAACTCACTGGCCATGGAACTAGTGCATGGAAGTGGCGCCACCAAAGTCGCACACAACGAGACTCCTGAAAAGAGTACTGATCCGGACACTTGTCGTCAAACCGTGCACAGAATGAACACGAACGGCAAAGCGGACTAGCCAGGGAAACGATGGATGTGATCAACACCGTAACTGAACCCGAGCCAACGGATCAAAGGAAACCATGCGCACTCCCGAACAAGGTCGACGACGCCTGAGGAGAACTGACCAGGAACTGGGTAGATGCACGCCTCAAGCACGAGGTCGAGTGAACACGAAAGTGTCGTGGACACCGCCGCCAGAAAACCGTGGACGTAGTCAACACAATCGGCCGACGGCCAGGAGAGCACAGGCTGGACCACGTTCACTCGGGGGCTCCATGCACCAACGAGGAACTTGAGCAAGTGGAGCAGGGGGGGGGCAGGAAGCCAGGGTCAACAGGGCCGCTGCGGGTCTGGCTGCCTGAGGAGGTGGGGGCCAGGACGGAGCGTGGCAGTGCCGTTTTTGCGCGTGGAGCGGAACAGCTCGGTGCGGGGCAACTGCCGAAAGGCGCGGGGAGGGGAGGGCGCCGCGGGCGGTGAAAACAACTACAGCGAGGCCACGGGCCAACTGGAACAGGTGGACCACGGCCCCAGCGGCAGCCCACATGTCAGTAGTGTCAGCAGGCAGTTGCCAGGGCCCCAAGGGCGGGGGGCAGCGGGAGCTGAAGGAGAGTGGAGGAGACCAGGAAAGCGGCTGAAGGCCGCACGTCCCATCACTGGTTTGCCGAGTACAGATGGATCACCGCCATGTGCGGGAGCACTTGTCGCCTCTCCCGTCGCCGTTGTGGTCGCCGCCCCGCTTGCCTCTCTCTGCTGCGGGGGCCCGTCCTCCGAGCGGGGGAGGCCCTTCTGCAAAGAAGCCACACAGCAACCGTAGCGAAAGGGCGCGGCGGGCTGTGACAAGGGTGAAACCAGGGCGGGCGCGCCCGCAGTGCTAGAGCTGACGACCTTCCACTGCTTCGTGCCCTTCCTGGGAGCGCTCCCAACTGTCGCCAGGGTACTGTCTCCAGGAGGGGGCGCGCTGTCGAGCGCCTCTCGGGCCTCCACCGCACTGCTGCCCCAGGGGCGCTGATAGGAGTGAGGAGCCGTACGAGTGCAAGCTTGCCGGACTCCAGAAGGGGGAGGGGACGACAAGCTGCGGCAGACGACCACGTGCTCCTTTTCCTGAAGACTGCTGCAGCCGACGGCCGCACTTTCCGCACCACACTCCTGAGGCTCTATATTGTGAGGAGCGTCTCCAAGCGCGGGCGCGCCCTCTGCAGCGCACCCGACTGTCGCCGGGGTCCTGTGTCCAGGAGGGGTGGCGCTGTCGAGCACCTTTCCGGCCTCCACGGCACTACTGTCCCAGGGACGCTCATAGGAGTAAGGAGCCGAAGGGGTGTCCGCCTGTTCTGTCGCACTGCCATGCCTGTCCGCTGACGGGGGTCCAGCGTGGGCGGGATTCCCCTCTGAGCCGACCCCAATACTTGCAGTAAAATTTCCGGCCTTTCTGCGCCCCCAACGCTTGCAGGAAAGTTTCCGGTCATTCTGCTTCCCTTACCTCACGATAGGTGGTGTAAGCGGTGGTGCGGTATGACGACCACGTGCTCGGTTTGCTGCGCAACCAGAGGACTGTTGCAGCTGAAGGCTGCACTTTCGGAAACTAAGCCCTGACTGTCACAATTGTGAGGGACGTCTCCGAGCGCGGGCGCGCCCTCTGTAGCACCCCGGGCACCCCCAACCATCGCCACGACACTGTCTCCAGGAGAGGGCGCGCTTTCGAGCGTATTCCGGCCTCCTCCGCGAACCCCAGGGACGCTGATAGGAGTGAGGAGCATGTGGCAAACGACCACCAGAACAGTCCCGAGCTCTCCCAGAGGACTTTGCAGCTGGCTGGTCGGGTTACTCGAAGCGTCTAGAAATTTCGTGAATTGATCCCTCTCCTCCTCCTCCTCCTCCTTCTCCTCCTCCTCCTTCTCCCCTCCCCCCCGAAAGGAGATCTTAGATTTGTGATGAGGCGTCCGTCTGCTGCGCCTCGCCGAGAGCAGTCCAAAGGTATTCTGCAATCGTCCAGGAGTTAACTGTGAGGCGCTGCTTGCAGGCGCACCACTCACTGCCAAACCATGCCAACAATTATGATCTCCCTGGCAAGCAAGGGGAAATGTCGAACTGATGATTGGATAGGGACGGCAATCGCACACATATGCCTTGCACGTCGGTGCAACACGTATATCGATAGCGCCCGCGAACCGAACAACAGCGGTCACCGCCAAATATGTGCCTGTGTGTTGCCTCGGCCTCTCACCGCCAAATCTGTGCCTGTGTGTTGCCTAGGCCTCACCCCCATACAACATCCGTATATTGACACGATGGGACCCTGGACTCTGACCTATTATAAGAACTGGTGCTGTTGCGCGGGCGATTGGACAACCCTGAGGATCAAGAGAACTGCGAACTACTACGGCCCAGACAGCTGAGCGGCACCACATCAATTTGTCACAAAATAGTGTGCAACAGCGTTTCTGATGTGGCGCACGTACGTTTACACAAGAAGCATGCCATCGATTTCCCGCAGCACCAACCTGCCGACGAGTGGAGCGGAGGAGAAGGAGGTTTGATGGGCAGGGGACAAGTAAGAGATCAAGAGGACGCAAATGTCGGGGGAACAGACGAAGGTGGGATGAGGGGGGATGAGGGGGGATGGGGACAGCTCAGACAACGCAAGGGGTATCAAGTCAGGAAGAGGTATGAGCATAACGGCGACGAAACGAGGGACGAGGATAGGACGAGACCAGGTCACGACATAGCGGCATGACAGAAGATGGTGAGCACGCACGGCCTGCGTAAGATGCGAGTGGCCAGACCCGATGAGGGCGTCACACCCACAGCCAGACGTGAGCGAAGTTTGACACTTGGGGCCATGAGGGAGGCGAAAGAGGAGGAAGCAGAGGATGATGGGGGGAGGATGCCGACGAGGGAGAGTGCCAGGATGAGGAGAAGGAGAAAGAAAGTCGATGAAGGAGAAGAGAAATACGGACGGGACTACATGGGTTTAGTCAAATCATTAATACACCAGTTCGTGGCTCCACCATCAATACCAAAAACACTGCATTGTGTGAAAGAGCAAGCGAGAAACGCACCGCTCTGAAGCGCCCGACGTGACAACGTAGATCGAGACGCCCCCCTGCAATAGCCGCCGCCCGGACCTGGCTCGGGCTGCGCAACCGCCGCCTGCTGCGGCTGCTTCTGGGCCTTCCGCGATGCCTTGGAAGGCTTCTGGATCTTCTTGGCAGCCTGCCACGAGGAAGTGGAGAAGGATGACGCTTTGGAAGGCTCCTGGACCTTCCAAAATACCTTCGAACGCTTCTGGATCCGCTCGGCAATCTGTCATCATCTGCTGCCTGCCCTCTCTGGGGCCTCACCGAAAGTCTCCCCCTGCCCTGTGCTTGAGACAGCGCGCTCGTCGGAAGGGGTGACACTTCAAGTCTGACCATAGGCGGAGAGGGGGGAGGCGCATGAGGAGAAGAGGCGGGAGCAGGAACAGGAGTACAAATGGAAGGATGTCGGGGGAGGGAGCAGAAGAAAGAGTAGGAGGGACAAAACATTGAATGAGAAGCCATAGGACGAGACAATGGAAGAGCGAGGAGGGACGAGGAGAATGAGCAGAACGATGCACCCACGACAACGAGCTGGGGCTGCGTCACCATGACCATGGCAATCGCTAGGCGCAGCGTCCCAAGGGGAGAGAAACGTGCGCAAGAACCAGCTGGAGGGGCAATACAGGGAGGATGAGGACGAGGACTGCGAGGAGGATAATAGGGAGGATAGCAGGAGGAATCAGGAAGAGGAGGCGGGCCATGCTGGGGAGAGGAGGGGGAGGAAGAGGCGGAGGATGACGAGTAGCAGGATGAGGACAGGAGGAACAGGAGGGGTCATATCAAAGGCTCAGCGTGCGCCAGAACGCGCCTTGCGGGTTGCTGCGCGCGTGGCTCAACAAACCACCCTGGGCAGCGGTCCACCATTCGTGATGATTCTCGCACGTGCCTTTCCGGATAACTGCGCGCAGTGTCAAGAGAGCGGACACGGGAAAAACAAACGCTGATACTTAATGTGTCTATCGCTTCGCAGGGCGCCAAGGGGTCCCCAACGCTCCATTCAACGGGGTCCTGCTTCAGCGCAAGGCCTCCCCAACGCTGATGTGTGCACTTCTGAAGCTTCTTGAGGAATGTGTTGTTGTGCGTTTCCTGGCCCTGCACATGGGACAGACCAGATCTCTCATGGCTTATCACGACGCGTTGCTCCCACGATCAATTCATCGTAATTTTCGTCAAGTACCCTGGCTGTGCCAAATCTATTCCTGAGTATCCGCCACCACATGCTTAATGCACGCTTGGCCGTGCTAGACTGCTCCTCTGCTGTCCGGCAAGGCTACATCCCAAGAGGCCTCCACGACGACAACAAAGACCCAGAAGACGGCCCAAAACACTGCCATGCCATGACGGACCCAAAACGCCCCGATTGGACCCCAAGACGGCCCAAACAGGCCCTCAAGACGGCCTCCGAAAAGCATCAGGCGGGCCCAATACGGCCCAGTAGGCTCCCGAGAGGCCCCCAAGAAGGGCCCTAAGAGGCCATGCAGGAGGCCCCCGAGAGACGTCTCAGGGGCCCCCAAACGTCAAGGGAGCGAGGTCGAGCTCGAAGCCCAAACGAATACAAGCCGCGCGCGGACTTGCAGTGGGTATTGAGTTCAAGTTCCGTTACGCTGCGCTGCTGCGCTGGCGCGGCGGCGGGGTGATAGCGCCGCTGATATCGCGGCGGTGAACGTCCACGCGTCGCCCCCGCGCAGCACAGTAGAGAATACGAAATACTCGAACAATACGATTCTGGACATGAGCGTGTGACATGTGTTGCACAGCTCGGCTTTCATTCGGCCTGTAGCCGCGCCCAGCCTATCGAGATGCAGATTCTGACCCCCGCGTCGTGGTAATCTTAAAACTGTCAGCTGCCTGCCAAAGTGAGCCGTGCCGTCGCCGACTGGTAACATGTCTTCAACCTTCCTCACTACTCATGACCCTGAACGTTAGACAATGCCAGTCTCGCATATGGAGGGCGAGGGGTTTTCAACATGTGGCTCTCGCCTTAGCGCTGCGCACATTCGTTCTACAAGTTACAAGAACTTCACGGATGGAGGGCAGGTGATTTTCAAAATGTGGCTCTCGCCTTAGCGCCGCCCACATTCGTTTTAAGCAGTTGCAGGGAACACGGATGGAGGGCGGGTTGTTTTCAAATGTGGATTTCGCCTCAGCGCTGCGCACATTCGTCGACTTCAAGAGCTGCAGGATATTCACAGGTGGAGGGCAGGTCGTTATCAATATGTGGCTCTCGCCTCAGCGCCGCACACATTCGTCTTACAAATGTATACAAGAGCTTCACAGATAGAGGGTGGGTCGTTTTCAAATGTGGCTCTCGCACTGGCGTCGCGCACATTCGTCTTAAAACACTGCAAAAGATTGGCGGGTTGAGGGCGGCTCGTTTTCAAAATGTGGTTCTAGCCGTAAAGCTTCGCATAATCGTTTTAAAATACTGCAAGAGTTTTACGGAATCCCATGGCCAACGCACCAGAAATTGTGTTTGGGAGCAGTTCATAATTGTCAGGGCGCAACAGTTACGATGATTCGCGGAGTTGAAGTCCCAGGAATGGTGTTCTGGCACGGTTCATGATCGTCAAGACGCAACAGTCACGTTGATTCGTGGCGTTGGAGTCTCGAGAATGGGGTTTGGGCACGCTGCAATGTTTTCAAACGGTTTTCTCCCAACAGGGGCACTTCCCCCAGCGGATGTGAATCCTTGAAGGGGCCTGTGAAGTGGGAGCTTGGAGGGAGGATGTATTCCAACATCGTTGATGAATCCTTGTAGGGGCCTATGAAGAGGGAGCTTGGAGGGAACTTGGAGGGAGGATGTATTGCTCTGGGCCTCCTCCTCCTCCTCCTCCTCCTCCTCCTCCTCCTCCATCTCCTCGTCGGGGTCTGCGCGGGAATTCTGTCCCTCCTCTCGGGCGGCAAAAGGCCCGCGGGAACTCGGACAGCCGCTGTCCATCCGTGAACGGCGAGCGCCCGTGCCCAGGAGTGCGCCGGGCGTGGGCCCCCCCGCCCCCCAGAGCAGCAGGGCGCGCGGCTGATCTGTCGCTTCGGCGGCTGCAGCGGGGGCTAAGCTCGGCGGCGCACGGCCTGAGGAGGCCGAGTCGCCTGGCATCCGTGATGCTGTCTTGACATATGATCGGCGAGGATGCCTTGCCCTGCCTTGCGCACATGGCTGGCGGAGATGCCTTGTCCGGGGGGTCCCGCAAGAGCATCTTGGAGACACAAGGATGCCATGGC